GAGGAGCTTAACGACCTTAACGGCGGAAGGGAGGTTGTTGGCGATTCTGCCATAGTTGATTCCAATGGAACCACCATCTGTAGCAAAAAGAACACCGCATTATTGATTAAACCCAGGATTCTGCTGGGAAAAAAACAGAGCAGAGTTTGGATTTTGAAGAATTACCTGAAAATGGGGAGAGGCAGAGGAGGAAGATGAGGAAGGGGAGAGGAGTTAGAGGGTCCATGAGTGTTCCGTTCCTCCGGGAGAAGCCAAAAGCTGTGTCTCAGCTTCTGCTGCAAATAAAAATTGTGGGTGAAAAGAGAGAACTCAGAACAGAGCGTGGGTGCGACTGTGAGTGGTGGATTGAGAGAAAGAGGGTGCGTCTTTTATTAATGGGAGATATCCAGGGGTGGACCCCACGCAAATAACATAAGAATAGAGATTATGTGGATTAAATACATGTCTTTAATTCCAACAATACTCTACTGCTTACGGGCTACAGTCGTTAAGACTACCATTACAAATAATAAGGGATAGGTACTCCCAACGCACAATTTTTAGTCTGAAATATACTTTCATTGAGTTATGTTTAGGTTAATTAGTGTGTTGATGTAAGATTCTGAACTATCGAAGTTGACTACGTGGCAACTGGCCCAACTAACAAGGTACTAACTCATTCAATGTAGGACTAACAAAAAAAAAACAAACACTTCAACACTCAAGTAAGTATAGGGACGAGCTCAAGTAGGTTGTTCTCGAAGCATAATTACATACGTGTCATAAAAAGGGACACGTCCGTTATGACCGTTATCATAAAGCGGTTGGATGGTTACAAACTGTCGGGTTATAGATCGACAATGACTGAGGTCCGCTTTTCATCTTTCCATATGGATTACCTTATAATTTCTACCACGAGTGAGCATAGAAGCTTGGTGGTAGATGACCTTAGTAGATCGGCGATAGGAGAGCTAAATAGTTAGACCATATCTCACTACGTAGTAGGTCATATTTTTGCCGCGAACATAGTGATAGACACTCAATGATTTAAATGTATAAATTTGATAAACAAGATTTTAAAAATTTAAAACTTTATTTTAAAATATCGATGAACAAAATTTAATTGATCAAACCTATAAACCATTGCTACAATCTAGCCAGCATAAATGTAGCTAACCGGTTAAAGACACTTAAAATCTTTTTTATAATTTAAATTTCTCATCCTAAAAAATTATATAATTCATGTAAGGGCAGGGCAACAGCAAGGAGTAACGTTATAAAATCGTGGTCTTGGATCTGGACCGTTGAATCTGGTGACGCCTGATGACCAGAAAACGGACGACCAGGATCCCCGATCCACAACCAAATCATACGGGCACCTTTTCAGCAACTAATGGCCCCACCAAAACTCGACCGTTTCGTGGTACTGATAAAATCTGTCATTTTAATAGTGTGCAGCGCCACTGCATCGCTCTCCATGTGGCGTCGACGTCCATGGCTTCCACGTGGCAGAGTGTCATAAATTTATGCTGCGATCGGACGTGGTCCACTCCAGTAAATGGGACTCGTAAACCAGCGAATCATTAAGGTAATAATTCTTACCTCTTTTTTTCCCCTTATTGGCCCATTTTTTATGGTTGGTTGGGAAATATTAAATTATTGAGTAAATTAACTTGCTCGTATTTTAAGAATAATTTTCTTGTATTTATTGGAAATTTTGACATCCTAGAGAGAATTTTTACTTTAATCCCATAATTATCTTCATCACCAAACAGATTGCACTATCAACTTTTTACATTTTAAAATTTCTCACATAATTAAACAAACACACACATGCTTATGGATAGTCTTGGTGTCCCTTTTTCATTAAAGGAAAATAGTCAAATGTCCAATAAATGGTTGGCCTAATATACCCCTACCCATAACACTAAAACTACCATTTATAGGCCACTCTTATCTTAGGTTTCAACGTATATATGTCATGTCATGTCACGCTTCCAATTTTTTTTTTCTTTTGTCTTTTATGATATGTGAGGATTGGAATTTGAACTCACAATCGTTTCATTGGAAATAGATGTTTGAATGAATAAAGCTATGCCCATATTAGCCACCATCAAAATATTTATTAATAAATATGTTTTTTAAAAGTATCAAAAAAGTACATATATTTACAAAGTAAATTTACTATTAATTTAAATCTTATTTTGGTCATACTTTTAATATTATATATATATATATATATATATATATATATATATATGTGGTCCCTATACGTGCAAAAAAAAATATTATAACTATTTTGACTGAGTTGTTTTAATTTTTATATATTTTTTCAATCATAATTTTAGCACAGAATTTACCAATCATACAATTTTTTGAAATATTGTCATATTTGTTGTATTTAAAATATCTGTTCGCAATAAAATATATTAGGATTTTGCATAACAGGAACCAAATTAAGCAGTTTTGAAAAGTATAGAGGAAAAAAAAAGGCTGAAAGAGTAAATCCCAACGGATGCCTTGAAATGATTGGAATAGACCGAAAATTGGATATAAAACAGTTGCTATATTGCATTATTTATATATATAATTTAAAAAATAGACAGAAGTCTGTGTGTTGGAAAATGTATGGCCCAATGGACCATCGACAGGCCCATGAAGAAATGAAACAAAGTTGGAAGCCCAAAGGCCCAGGAATCAAACCGGTGGCAGTACGACACGTCGTAAAGCCTGGCAGTGCCGCCTGCAACCCAACCTAACGCCTGAAAATTGAAGTCAAATACACAGAACGAACAGTCACACTTTTCCAATGAATGCATCTTCTTAAAACTCCAGTTTCTTCTCAGAACAACGCGAGATTGAAAATTTGAAGATCGAGAAGAAGAATGTCGAAACGAGAAGAGAGTACCCGAAAACCCGAGTCAGAACCCGACCCCGAGTATGTCAACATCAAGGTCAATGGACAGGTTCTGTTTCCGTCCCCCAATCCTCGTGAACACTGGAGATCTCTAGTCTCGTTTGTGATTCTGTCTCTGTTCTTGATTCATAGGATGGGAGCGAAGTTTATTTCAGGGTTCGAAAGAAAACCCAACTGAAGAAGCTCATGGCATCGTACTGTCAACGACAAGGCCAGGATCAACGAATAGTTGCTTTTCTGCTCGACGGCCATCACATCACCGGAAACCAGACCCCGGAGCAGGTATTTTCCGATCTCCCCTTTTGGGCTTTAGTTTTTTGTGAAGTTTTGTGGATGATTTTTGCTGATTTTCGTGTCGGTTTTCAGCTGGAGCTGAAGGATGGAGATGAAATTGATGCGATGAATCACCACGGCGGTGGCGGCGGAGCGAACTGCGGTTTCCTCTGAAAATGGCGTCCGGTCCGAGCCTCCGGCGAGGTGGTTTTTGCGTTTTGGTTAAAGAAGACGATGTTTCAGCCGCACGTCTAATTATATCTTCTTTTTGTAAAAATAATAACTTCTCACGTGTGTTTAATTTGGGCTTTTTAATTGGATCCGTTTGCTCATTTTCTTCTGTAGGCCCAAATCACCGAAGCCCGGCCTTCTTAAGAACATCATAAAATTAGGGTTACAAATTCGCCGCCCCTAAACGCTAAACTCTCGGCCCCGTTGGCTCCATAAATATCGACCTTCCCATTCGACTTCTTCACCATTCTGTAGTTAATTTGTCTGTGGCTGTGGCTTCTCTCGTTTCTATAGAAGTAGTTTGATTTTGATTTGGAGTATGATTAAAGGATTTTAGGGTTTTGTTTTTGAAGTTCGCCGGCGATTTCGATTTGTTCCAATGAGGAAGCTCTCCCAAAATTGATAGGAAGTGCCGTATGACACTCCAAACAGCAGCGAGATTCCGGCGACTCGGCTGTGTTCCCATCCGCCGGTGAAATTCGCCGCCGGTTCGTCTCTACCCGGAGCTGTCTGGTTCTGTTGGGTTTTGCCGGTCGGGAATCGCACCGTTTTCGTGGTTTCTCCTGTGTGGTTGATTTGAAACGGGTCTCTGAGGATTTTTCATGAATTTCTTCTTCTTCTTGTGTGGTCTCTTCGGTTCGATGCCACGTCGTTGGTAGCTCAAGAGCTGTGACCTTCGATGCTATGATTGAACCAAAAACGAATTTTCACATCTTGATAGGAATCTGTGGATCTCTTTTCGTAGGTTTACAGAGCCGTTTTGTGTGATTACATCTTAAAATTATCATTTTAATCGACTTTTAATCCTAAAACACATTCTATTCTGTTTCTATTTTCCGGAGTTCAAAGTTATAATTCCTTTAGTAGAAAGGAAAAAAAAATTTAGTTTTAGTTGAAATGCCAATGAGGATTTTGATCTTTTAGTTGGAATTACCGACTGATTTTCTCTTGATGTCAAATAGACTGGCTATCTGAGGCTTTCAACATTTCTACTTTTACTTTTTTTTTGTTCTTTCGTTATGTTTTGTTCATGATTTAATTTATTTTCTTTGATTTTTCTCTTTCCACCAATAATGGTAGGCTGTCCCTCCCATTAAATTTTGATGGGTTACACAAATATTATACAAAGCATAAAAAATGGTTAAGATTCAAGGCATTGCCATATTATATGCTAAAAAAAATTCAAACAATATTGCATAGGAATGTTTGGAAGCCGAAAGGCCTAGGAATCGATCGTAACATAAAGGCTTGGAAATTGAAATCAAGTGCAGAAAACATGGTTGTCTAATGATGGTATCTTTCTTTAAACCTAGATTTTTCTTGGATTACAGAAGGTCTTAAATTTGTGATTGATAAGAGACGATATTGTCGAAACAAGACTATACCACCCAAGAACTCGAACAAGGACATGAAAATGTCACTAAAGTAACGTAGGTTGAATGCATTGAAAATCGCACTTTTAAATTCAATTGTGTTTTCTTTTGAACTCTGATAAATACTTTTCTTTCATTAAAGAACAAAGGATAGCATCAAAGATTAGAACTCTTAAAACTTGTTCGAAGGTGGGACGGAAACTGTAATTGCTCGTCAACTTTAAATGTTGACATGTAGCTTTTTACTTTGATTTGGGCTTTGAATCAAAGAATTCTCTGGTTTGTAGATTAAGAGCCTGTTTGTACTTGATTTAATCAAATGATTGTTAATGAAAATTAATTTTGAGATAGTGATTTTTGTATAATTGTTTAAGCAATTGTTTACAGTGATTTTTATACGACTGAAAATGATATTGAATTTTTAACCTTTACAGTTTAAACAGAGAATATGATAAAATTTTTAGAGCGAAAAAACTTAAAAAAAGAAAAAGAAAAAGAAAATCTGATTGAGAGCCAGGGGACAAATTATTTTATTTTATTTTTTAATTTAGAGTAACCATCGAAATTTTAAAGGAAAAAGATGAGAGAGAATGAACAAAATTAAAAAAGGCAGTTTGGGTTTCAGTTGCATAAACAAGCTGTTCTGAAAATAAGCTGAAGAGTATGAAGGAAAGAAGTAACTATAAAAAATAATGATCATACTAACACATTGGAAATTGCTTACAAATTACTACCAAACGGTTCCAGTGTGCAAAATCCTATTTAACTCGAAAAAAACATCATTAACAAAAATGCACACCATGAATCCGTGATGGAAAAAAAATATTCATAAAATAAAAAAAATTACAACCAAAAAATGGAAAGACTTTGGCTTCCTTGCGAACACTGTAAAATTGTACATGTTACTCAATTTCTTTATCAGGACCGACGTAGAAAGTCCAACACATAGAGATCAAAATGAGTACAATTCCAACTAATCGACCGACAGGAGCCACTCTCAATACGCCAATAAGCCACAATTGCACAAGTGCAGCCTGGAATACAAATATTTTCATAATTTAAAGCAACCAACAACATAAAAAAAAGCCATCCATAAACAGAGAAAACTAGTAAAAATACCTCTAAAAACCGAACGTTAGCAACTTTGTTGGTTTTCTCAAGTTGAAGTCCACGAGCCCAACACACCTTCAGTTGAGGATAAAATGTCAGCTGTTTATAAACGCCATTGATATTAATAGCTGGAGGGTTTAGAATTACCTCGGCCAAAAAAGCAACTAAACCAAGCACTAGCATCACTAAAAATGAATTTAAACTTGGCAGCACCAGATCCTGCATCAACATGAAACTGAAAATTTAGACATCGTTGCCACCACAATAAGAGAACATCAGACCCCAACCAATAGTTTGTAAAGTTAAGAATAATCTTAATAGTTGATTAGTCATAGCTGCCGTCAATAGGTTTAACCCTCCTTCAGAATTTGTGTTTGTTACTGTGATGATTCATGAAAATAATTCACGGTTCAATATCTAATGCATCTTTACATTCCAGAGAAGGTATAAAGCTCGCTATAAGTGAAAGTTAATGATCGTGAAGTCCATACAGTCTACTCACCTCATAGATAACTGTACATATTCCAGTGACAGGACAAGCCAGCATGCCGAAAAAGAAAACTGTAACACTGCAAGGTAAAGAAGAGGATTTCCTCAAGGCCATCAGAAGCAAGTACTCACAATAATCAGAAAGGAAAACTTAGGATTATTTATTTTCACATTTTCCTTCAATCTAGACATGGTCAAAACTAAAATGAGTCACCACAGAAAACCCCCAAGCAACCTATCCCCATTGGAGAACGTCTAAAGTTAGGGTTACACGTGCTATTTCCATTGCATTTCTGCAATCTTCACAAAGTTCAACACTTCTTTGTTCCCAGTAGGATGAACTAATTCAATCTTGTGGGATATGAAAAACAGTTAGGGGCATACAGTTTTCTCAAGGCTAGGTTGTGCTGATTCCAATTAGAAGAATCCCCAAGATTGATACAAGTGTCGTAGTAAAGTCTTGAGAAAAAAAAAAAAGTAAAGATCCTAGTCATTCAATTTTCCGGATTTAGTGTTGAGTTCTTTTAACCTGAAATTTGTATAAAAGAAGGCGTGTAAAAAAAGAATGGCAAAAGTTATTGACATGAGAAGAAGCAAAATTGCATGTATAATAAATGCCTCTCTCTATACTAAATATGCAGAAGGAAAGTTAATAATCTTACACGGGTTGATCAGATGCTTTTGCACCAGCCCTTATAAGGCAGTAGGTAATGCCACCAGCTATTGATGCAACAAAACCAAATAATGCTGCATATAAATAGTGACTTCCCAGAGCTGGTTTTGTGCTTTCTTTCCCAGCTTTAGTTAACCCTTCAAATAAGGCAACGCAATAATTATAGAGTAAGAGAAACTGCAACTGGTTCCATTACATCAAGGTTCAAGCTAAAGGCAACCGCAAGTTTTGATGAATATTTACCTGCCTTATGGAAGATATTTCAGATGGGAAAAATAAAAGTAAAAACAATTAAACAAAGATACATAATAGTTGCACTAGATTGCATGTTCTGAAACAACATGAACCAGACGAATGTTCAATACGAAGGAAATATAAAAACAGGATTGACAGTATTAGTTGCTTAAACAGATTTTGAAAATATATGAACGTGTGTTGACTGTTGAGTTTCAGATAAAAATTAAGATCCTGAAGCCTGTTTTCTATGTTCCATTCATTATCCCAGAGGAGAGGAAAAAAAAATCCTCAGACATGAAAGAAAGTCCAAATCAAGGGTAAGTTAACTCACTTCGGTACCTTGAATAGTGAATATTTCTTGGAAAATAAGTAGAACACCAAAGAAACTGCAAGCAAGACCTGAAAGGAGAAAGGGTAATCAGAAAGTAATCACCCGTTGCCTTGACAAAATGCATATCATACATTTTTAATATTAAATTGAAAGAAAGAAGCCAAATAGATTAGCTAGCATCTATAGCATATGAAAAGAATGAGAAATGCAAATAACAAAGATCCAACCATGAATGTTCAGACAACCATGTGTTAGAGAGAGACAATCACGTTAATAATTTTTTTTATAACCAAGGTATTGGAGACCACAGTCACTAATCCTTAAGAGGATTTGTTCACCCCAGGCCAGCTCCAAGAGACTAAGGATTTTATTAAGTCTTTAACTTAGAGGATTAAACCTAGAACCTAGGAGGGTATCTTGAAACATCCCAAGCCAACTGAATTTTGTTAAATGCATGAAAAGTTTGCACATAGTACTGTAAGCTTATAACCTAACACGGTCTAGAAGATCAGTAAAGATATGAATTTCAAGATAATCAAACTCATATAGGGAGAAGGAACCAAAGCTGGGTTCATTTTCATATCAATCTCATCAGCAGCATCAATGGAATAATTCAAATATCATGCAAGGTTAGAATACTGATTAATGTGTAACGTTTTCACATCGTGATGCATTTGTTGGAGGGAGAAGTTGAAAATCCATCTAATGCATACCGCCAAAATCTGAAATTTTCAACTTTTCATGCAAAATAATTCTCGACATAATTGAAGCCAGGATGGGAGTTGTAAAGCTTAATACAACTGTCTGAGACAAAGGCAACCTTTGAATGCTGAAATGAAAAACAAATCAAATAACAGTTAATATTTGATAAAGCTCCAGAGCTCAAAAACAAAAGGCTAGAATAGCAAATCAACTTAAAATGGTTGCCAAAATGGAGATAAATTTAATGAATAAAATCCAAATAACTATGAATTAGATAGGTACACAGTAATACTAATTAGATACGAAGAATTCATTTAAACCATGTTTTGAACAAGGCCATAAGTTATGGGATGTCAGATAGTGTTAGATTAGAGAGTATTAATAAGTGGGCAATATTTCACGAATGTAATAAAACTGCATGAAATCATTTTAAGCTAAAAAATAAAATAAATTATCCAATTGGTAGTCCAAATTCCAAGACCATACGATGTAGCCATTAAATCAGAAACTTGACCAAAAAATAGACATTAATTCACAGCATATAAAATGACGTCTTGGAACCTATTACAGAATTGGAGTAAATTTATAAAAATCATATGAGAGAGTATTTTACTTTTGGTAGTAAACAAAATGTTATATTAATCAACAAAGAGATACAAAAAAGAGGAGGGGTTAAGACGTACTTCATTGCTCATAAAAATCTCCTCAAAACTCAATATCTCAAAAAAACTCCATTGCTATTTTTAACACAAAGATACCAAATTCTATTATTCAAAACAATTTTTTAAATATCCACAATATTAATTGAGCTTTATTTGCAATTAAAATGCAGGACTAAAGTCACATACCTGTAAATAAAACTCAACATTGAGAGAAGTCCTGTTAGGGCACGAGAAACCAAAAGCTTCCTAACATGTGTCTGTCCAAATATTGGTTGCTCACTCCTCCTCAACCACAAATACGATAGTATGGTAATAATTGTACATCTTGTAAAAGCCATTTCAAGAATTGGCATAGACTGAGCTGCCAATACAAGTTGAAATTTAAGTAAAAATAACAATACTAAAACTCAGCCAGCAAGCAGAACATAATGGGCCTAAGATCTACACGCAAACAAAAATCTATGAACTATTTCAAGAAACAGGAAACGGCGGTTTTCTTACGCTGTAAAGTACCACATTTTGTTGTAATATAGAAACATTTCAAAACTAAGTCAGGAGAAAATTTTTACCAACCAGAAAAAACATCCGTCAAAACTTCCATGGTGAAGTAGAATATGGAAGATAGAGAAGCACACAGCAGACCAGAGTATCTTGATCCACCCCAAATCCAAATAATGGATTGGGACAGTGGTGACACCTCATTATCATGGATTTTATTCACCTGCTCCTGGAAAAATATATAAAACAATAATTGTCATAATACTTGAAACATATTCATTACTGTAAGAAATGCAACCATTAAGTGACAAAAAAGAGTTGGGGGGAAAATGACCAAGACGACTTGAGGGGCCTTATTCATGCAAATACTTCAATTAACAATAACTTGTTCCAATCCAAGACATCAAGTAACGACTGGAACGGGGTGCATAAGCTCTCAAGAGACCTTTAAACGATTATGCATCAAACTAAGTAGATTTGAGCCTGTTGAACTCTTTACCCCGAAGTTAAGAAAAGTAAAATACCAGCTAAACTTCGACACCTAAATGTAATCTCCTTGCATTGCAGACTAACCTAACACTACTTCAAAATCAATCGCGGAAAAGAAAATCTCTAACGTAATATCATAGATGATCCAAAGAACAAATGTGATCAACTAAAACAGTATAACATATGCAGAAAAATAAGATAGAGACGAAGTTAATTAAGAAATCACATGCCGATACATCGAAATGTTGAATTTCTACATCTCTGAAACCAAAATTAGCAAGCACCAACGGAGGAACACATGATTAGAATTATGGAAGGAGCAGCAAGAAAAGTGAATTTTACCATAGGTTTTCTTCGAGGATAAGAGATGGTGAAGATGTTGATCTTGGGCTTTTCAGCTTGGGTCAACAGAGGAGCAATCTCCTCCAAGATCGGACCCCCGTCAGCCATTGACGGAGGCTCATCCCGCACGATGAGCTCCACCAAATTATCTGTTGCACCGTCGATCATCTCGGACGCCATTCTTTGGATTCGACGGAACGGAGATGGAAAATTTTGAAGAAATTACAGATGCAGAGTTCGGACGTCGAGAGCGACGAATAAAACCCACCACATGAACGGACAGCTTCAATTTTTCTGGCTTGTCTTCGTTTCTTCCCCTTTTCTCTCGATAATTGCAAAAAACTCCTCGTTTTTTAACTTAATTAATTTTAATTTTATGGATAATTTCAAAGTACACCCTTAAAAATAACGAAACCGATTAGAGGCACAAATTACATGTTTCTACGTACATTTTCGACCAAAACAAACAGTATTTAATTTTTAATCATAGAAAACATGAAAAAATATTAATGTTAAATCAATAAAATTCATAGTCACGTTTAATTTCAAAATTATTTATTTACCAAGTATAAAAATATTTATTATATTTGTTCTGGACCTCAAATATATAAAAATATATAAAACTACATCCTACTATATTGTTTAGTAAATTTGTAAACTAATTTATTTTTATAATACTTACAATTTTGACAAATTATATTATTATGGTCAAGATTTATATCTCTAATTTCAGAAAATTAGTTTATGGTTTAATCCATTAAATTATATTTAAGTTGACAATCATATCAAAATTTTTTAATATGTATAAAAAAAATCTTCAAAATCATTTGAAACTAATATATCATTTACATTGGCTCCCTGCCTTTAGTTCTTTTAGCTAAACAGATAAATCACCTCAACTTGCTATATTTCATACTTGGTCTTATTCACCCCAACTCACTAACAATTAATTAGGAAATTTTGTTTAGGAAATTGTACACAGTAACATCACATGATTTAAACTTTCAGCAATAACTTTGTTGGAGGCGATTTTTTCATTGGCCACGTGTCCACCTTTGATAGCTCAAATTCTAAGTAATATGTAAGCAAGGTGACTCATATTTAAGTAACAATGAAATCTCGAACTTTTGAAAAGATCGAGTCGAACTACTAGCTAGAGACGGTTGAGACTCATGGTTCTTCCCTAGCTAGCCGACTTTTATGTCATATTTCAACCATCCGAGATATCAGCCAAGGCGACCAACATAACATACATTGGTCGCCTTAGTCATTATTAGAGTCTACTTATGTTAGTTTTAGTAGGTGCAAACATCTAACAGAATCAAAACGACAACATGCCACAATTCTCGGAGTTGTCGGAGAGCTGTTGGAAGCATATTGGACATCCTGTCGAAAACCCAACCTATGAATATAGACATATCCCACCTCGTTTTCAGGTACGTAAAGCTATATTCTCTCTCGAATTTAAACCAAACGAGTACTAACTTGAACGTCATAGTGCTAACTCTATTTCATAGGTCTCTTACTTACACTCACTTCAGCTTGTCTTGTCGTTATCGAACTTTGCGACTCTAGATCAATTTTCAAATCAAATAAACTTAGTCATATCGATGTACTAAATAATAGTTAGCTCGACTAGGTGAGATTGAGTAGCGGCTTATTTGTAAAAGGTGATACCACTTCATCATAACTATAAAATTTACGGTTTGGTTATATTTCATGAGATCAAGTAGTTACTGGTTCTACTAACTTTATGGCCAAAAGCTTACTCCTTTCACTTGAGACTAAGCAGTAGATTTGTCAAATCATGTGAAATCATTTAATAATATTTTAGAGTAACTTTAAAATACATTTAATAAAAAATTAAAAGGTACTTACTACCCCAAATTCTTAATTATTAAAAAATCATTTAAAAACACTTTTAAAATCTGTGACATCGAATATCAAAGTGATATATAATTAAGCACTTGATTAAAAAATGCTTCTAATCAACTCTTTCATTTTTTTTTTTTGAAATTACCTATTTTAAAAGTACTCACAAACAATGTTTACATAGTTATGCAGTTAATCGTCTAAGAGGTAAACAAATAATAATTGATTGAATACTCTTACAAAATGTGACATGAGAAATAATTCAACCTGCCAAATAGATACACCTCACCAAATGAGTGAGGTAAAATAAACTAAAGTATTTGACATTAAATTACCATCTAAATTGAGGGTAACTATAACTAAGGTCACATCGATTCAACTATCGTTAATTAGTTAGAGGTTAGACCAGATCACTCGTCAATTCATAATGACCGATGCAAGAAAGATCATATCACTAATGTTGTGACATTTATGATATATTTGTGACATATTATCTAGATAGACCTACGAGTAACTATAATAATTTCACTCCTCTTATAAACATCAAGAAGCAAAGTAGGCACACTCAATATTACACTAACTTGACATTTTGTTGTTATTTCAAATGACCTAACTTGAACAAAGTAAATTTGTCTCTATTCATAATTTTACAATGAATAGTCTTGTAGAATATTAGCTTCTACTAATTAACATTGTAACAAAAGAATAATAAGTTGATACAATTTCGTTTATGTATGTCGATAGATTGTAGAATAAAGCAGTACTCAATTCTCTAGTGACATCCAAAGAGATGTATTTGTGAGGAACCCTCCTCCACTCGTTTTATAAGGGATATTTCTATTTTGTAATTTTGATGTATCTTCTTATTCAAAATAAAAAGAAGAGAACTATTCATTCCCCATAATATATATAATATTTATTGAATAAACATAAATTATGTATATAAATTGACACCATATCTTTATTCAACTTCATAAAGATTTAATTGCTTACAAAACTTCGTATGTTGCATTAAACCAAAAAAGTCTTTGTCGTACTTTAATTTGAAGATCTCTAACAATTAAATCAACAGGCATTTAATTAGTCTAAGCATGTGTTAGTAGACAACTTTATTGACTAATATCCCACAAAAAATATTATTTTCCACTCCATTTATCATTTCTATTACTT